TTCTTAAAAAACCTATCCCAGATTATCAGGGAAAAAGTGAATTTTTTAAGCATTTTTCTTTAAGAATGATTGGTGCGTTAAAAGATAACAAGTATCTGTAATTTTATTCCTGTACAAAATAAGAACTAAATGTAATTAAGATATCTTTATCGGTACGATGATATAGTACATTTAATGACTAAAATTATTTTGGTATTATACCTACATTTTTAAATGAAGCATATTTAGTGTTATATTGCGATAAACACAACTTTCGTGAGCAAAATGAGTTTTTTTATGCTCTTATTTAAACTTATTTAATATATTACTAATACTTATGAAATTTGAAATGACAGCGATGTGGGGTAACTGGTAATTTTACGTATTTTTAAATAGTTGCAGCATCTAATTATAATTGGTAAAACAATAAGAGGACGCCTTAAATCACTAACTTTCTTTTTAAGAAAGAAATAAACTCCATTTAATATTTGTTTCAAAAATGAGAAAATTAGATTATATGTATACTGGGTGCTGGTTGACATAAATTTTCTCCATGAAAAAAAAAGTATACAATTCACCTCTTAGTCCACTTCTTTGCATATACTTACAATTAAACTCTTTATTTTCTTCCCTCTCTATTTTCATTTTTCATTCCAATCAAACCTCTCATGTATACGAGCGTGGTTAATATATCATAAATTAGTACAATATTTTTGTAACTTCCGAGTTAATTTTCTATTTATTCTATTAATATTCATTATTCACGAATAACATACGGATGTGGTAATAATAAACACTTGATATTTGATCCATACTCCGAGTGAGGACAGACAAATTGATATCGAGTTTCGCGCCTATTCAAACGAAGTGTTCTATTTTCAAATTAATTTGTGTTCGAAAACATAATCTTTCGAATTTTTCTTTTAACGAACGAATCTATTCCGTGGCGATGTTTTTGAAATTGGAACACTTTTAAATGTGCGAATGTTTTTACGCTCATAATCTCATTAACTGGCGTTGCGTAAACAAAAACAAAAGATGCATTAGCATCAAACGATGATGGATTGATGACGGTGTCAGTTCATTGAAGAACTCAGTGGGTCAGTCTGTTTGTGTATTGAGATAATAGGATGATATTACGTCTCCCACGCATTATCAGTCAGGTTACAATTTTTCTAATACGGATAAAGAAAGCTGTAACATCTACAAAAGGCGTGTTCTATTGTTTCATTTATAATCATGTCGTTTCCTGTGTAATTACTATACTTTGTATGGTAAATTTTGATGTTCATTAAGATTAGCTGTTGCGCATAAAACCGTTACATATTCAAAATTGTTTAATTCATACTTGAACATTACATTTTAGTCGGCAGCCATTTTAAACATTCTAAATTTGAAAAGATATGTAAAGAAATTGCTACAAAAAAATATCATCATGTTTATATAATAAGCCATTTCCCTTGACGTCATCGGAGCTTACATAATCACCATAATAGCAACGTTGTAAATCGCCATTACTTATTCCAGCGTACGGCGCTGACGGGCATCGAACTCGCTTCCGTTCGGACGTATGCCGCCTTGGCTATTACCATTACGATCATTGTTTGGTTTATTCGCTGCGGTTTGAGTACGTGACGCGTCGGATTATTGCTTTACCATGTTATCAAATTCAATTTGGATTTGATGTATTCTAAATTTGATATTGAGGGCTCACGTGAACGGTGTTACGTCTCCATAATGATATCCCGTTGATAAAGATGATTTTTATGTTTTGTCCTATTATTGACCGGTATTAAACAGACTAGCTTTTTTTTATTGGGAAAATTGTCCCTTAAGCAATAATGTGACGTTAAAAGATATGTATTTATTTTTGATTCTTGAACCACTAGAAATACAATTTTCTAGTAAAATATAAAAGCTATTGCTAAAGTGGTTAACTCTTCTCAAAATATTTTAAAATGAAAGACGATTATTTTCATTGGAAGGAACATAACATTTTTGATGCCTTCATCGTTACATTTAACTTATCATTTTTACATTAAATTTTGACACAACAAAAATATCATTATATTAGATCAATGATGCATTCAAAATATTATACTGGAAAATATTTTAGATAAACAACTAAATGCAGAACTACTATAAAACACTTGAAAGTGAACCCGTTATATTTTTAGTATATTTGTTTACATTCCCACGTCAGCGCGTGTCGATAGCTTGACGGGCCCGATACTATTTGTTGCCGACAACAAACGCAATGTTTACACAACTTTCAACTTTAATCTTTACCCGACAAGAGGTTATTTAACCAAACGTAACTGAACGCTAAATATGCTTCTTTGGTACACCGTCACTTGTCAATCGGCATTCTTTTTTGAAAACAGAATCTGAAATTATTGTTTACAACCAGAACGCTAACATTGATAGTCTCCAAAGAGTATGCTGATAGGCTGCTACCTAGTTTTTATTTATCTTTCGCAACAAAAGAGGTCTGATAAATTCCCGCCAATTTTGAAATGAGAACGCACTTTTTTCTATTTTGTAGTAAACCAATACTTTTAGCATTAATCAATTCAGTCAGTCGTATCATTCAATTAAACATGAAGCTGAATGAGTAGGTAAAGATAGCTCTCAACAAAAGCGATAAAAGTAAAATGACCTTTTTATTAAAGTAGTAATTAATGCCGTTACCATCGCAATGCAACAGGAAACAAGTGTCAAACGATTAAATGTAAACATTAAAATATAATTTGCATGTATAATATGAATGTATTTACAGCCAAGTTGAAATTTTAATGTATTAAATTTAATAAATGTACAGTTACTGTATCAAATGTAAATAATACTTGTTCTAGTATACCAATATATAATTGATTGAAACAAATGTACAAATAGCATTAGTACAATTTTACATTTTATCATCAAACTTTGCTCCTATAAAAGAGACTCTGAAGATTTGAGTATAGTTGATACGTGACACAAGCCTTGTATAGAAACATTAATAGCGTTTAAGGAATAAAATGCTTATTAATGAGACGTCGAGACTTGACCCCGCCCACGGGGTAGTTGTAAAGATAACTTGCATCATGTCGCCCACACGGACAGACGTACAACCTTCATAGGTTTTGTAGATACGTTGGACCTTGAGGAATGTTTCTAGTAAATACACGGCTATTAGCTAAGTAAAAATGTATGTAACTGCATAATTGTAGGTGCAAAGTTGAGTGTGACTCAGCAGAGGTCGAGCACCTTTTCTATGTGAACTGCATTTTTTCAGCAGCCTTAATTCATTATTAAAATTAATCAATATTTTTGTTTGTTTTTCATTGAAATTAACCACCCACCTTATGAATTCGTATCCAATAATTTAAACTTTATTATATAGTTATAAATATACCGAGTTATGTTATGTTCAAGTCCTGGTTGTGTGGGTGTGAGAGCTACCCACATATGGATATCAATGTTTAGTTTAATTGCATTTCGTAACCTTATCCAATAAACATTTGTATGTTGATTTTGATTAATTAATATTGTTTTTGTCCTTGTCTCAACGATCATTTCAAATTTACTTCTTATTTTTGATCTTTGCATCTGTTCGAGCCGTAAGCGTTCCCCCTACCCAAGAGATAATTTACAAATGGCAGAAAAGCATCCTCATTTTCTTACCATCCTTTGGCTCCGATCCTATCTTTAAATATAAAAGGTCGTAACTACCTCTATTGGCAGCCGATGCTTTACCTTTTTGATCTTGGACAGCTTACGATACAACGAGTTCTATAATTGAACGATGCGGGAGAGTTCAACACATCGTGGTCCATCTTTTTAGAATAGGACACAAATAACATTCTATATTTGAAAATTTCAACATCACAACCATCGAGTGCATCTATATCCTCGCAACACATTCGACGCCACTTTCAATTTTAATACGTTGTCTTAAAACATACATTACATTATCTCATGGAATATTAGAAGCTGCGTTATTTTGCTTTTATGGAATATGGATTCTAAGGTAGAACGGTTATGCAGCAGCCATGCCGATGACCACATGCTTCAATGTTTGTAAATAGAACACTGTACCACGAAATACGTTTGATCTTTCACACAAACCAAATGTGACACGTCCAACGCTCGTTCGAATCATCATCTCTTACCCGAGTGGAATGTAAATGTGTCAATGTAATAGAAAGACAGGCGTTCGTATGACGTTAAACAAATGTTGTAGCTCCATTCTCCTCTGAAAATAAGAGGCGTCGCGTGATTGGTGACATCTCTCCACATAGTGAGATGTCGTGGATGTGTTTAAATCTAGTTACATACTAATTTGTTTACAAACATTTTCTGTTGTCATTATTAGCTATTATGCAGCTAAACTATCAGATGTAATTTATCTAAATTACTTTGATTCCCAGAAGAATTAGCTTTGCTTTGTGAAAGGAACTCGTTTAAAGGAATCTAACGAGTGTGTTTGCTCATTCCATTATCCAGCTGGTTTGGGAAGTGAAAAATCACGCTTATCTAGCACAAACTGGGGGAACGGTGGTCCACGCTCGAGCCATCTGTTCGTTGCACCCATAAAGATAACGAAAATGTAGAAACGGGAACGCATTCATTTCATATCAGGCCCTTCGTGTGAGCACTCCTGCGCCAGTTCCAATTTATTACACGCGAAAAACAAACGGCAGCCATTTTGCATATTTTAGAACGATGTGTTCCATATTCGAACGCACGGTGCGTACAGCTCACGGCTTGTTTTATATTCTCTTTTTGAGATGCGGTTTATTTTTAATCGCGTTGTCCTATTTAATCCGTTATTTGAAAGCAGCCAGCGCCCCAATCGGTCTCGGAGGCGGCAGTTGCTTCCGACGTTGTGTTTTCAGTAAAATAATAAAAGTCATTATTAACACACAAAATGTTCAAATTTATAATTTCAAAAATAAAAAAGGTTGTCTGTGATTTATATTTTGGTGTTGTGTATAAAGTGTGATAGTTTTTTAACAATGTTCGTGCGTTTGTTCCAGATATACCCAGATCCTGAGTCGGAGAAGGCGATTATGGGATCTGTGGTGTACTGCATCCACCACAAACAAGGATGCCAGTGGTCGGACGAGCTTCGCAAACTGAAGGTAAGTTTATTTTAGTTAATATTTAAACAATAAAGAACGAAGCGCGTTTGTTATGTCCTTGCCATCTGCTCCTATAAGAGGCACGTCACAGTAGATATTTTTTATCTATGCTAGGTACCCACCTACTTTTTCTGTGACGTAGTGCGCTTCTACGAACTACGAGTATTATTTGTTTAATGGGCTAGTATTGATTACTAGTTGTAGTCAGCCTATCGTAAATATTAGAAGTTTATCAATTTTCACTATCAGTACAAACTAATTTCCATTAGCTAATTAGGTAATTAGGACTGTATAGTTAATCAAACTAATTTGTACGTTGACCGTTTGCTTCACTAAATCAATTAATAGTTTATGGCATTTAAACATTTTAATTGTATTTTACTAATTTTTTTATTTATTATTTATGATTTTTATTATTTATTTTAAAAATCACAAAATAAACTTAACAAGACATAACGGTCTCTATATATCATTATCATTTTCTTTTACGGTCGATTTTCGACAATTTTAACGTTTCCCGTATCATGATGCGCAGGCGCACCTCAACACCTGCAAGCACGACGCGGTGTTGTGCGCGGCACAGTGCGGCGCGATGATACCACGCGTCCTGATGCAAGACCACCTGCGGTACACTTGCCCACGGCGCCGCGCCAACTGCGAACACTGTCACAAGGAGTTCTCGGGCAGCGCCCTAGAGGTGAGCTTACATATCTACATGATATGGCAATGTGCCATGATAGGCCAGAGAGAGATAGGAGGAGTGCATCTAATGTTTATCAACAGTAAATCATTAGTTAGCGACAAAACTGATGAGCTTAAAGGGCCACTTCATCTTTTAACCTACTCCTACTCCGCAGGCAATAGTCCACTCTACTCCATAATCAGGAGTGTGCTAATAAGTATTGGAATCCTTTTCATGAACTCTCCGACGATCCGACCTAATAAATTCAAGTAAATAATTTAAATAGGAAATAAATGTAAAGTTAAATGAAATATTCTTTGTTATTGTTAATTAATATGAACTTTTAATTGCAGGAGCATCAAGGCAATTGTGGACATGAACCTGTGTACTGTGAGAACAAGTGTGGAGCGAAAGTGCAAAGGCGTCATACCCAACAGCATTTGCAGCAGCACTGCAGCAAACGATTAGTGCCTTGCCGGCATTGTGGACAGCGGTACACACAGGTAATATAATAAGAATGAATTTTTCCCATACTCTTCATGGAAAGACAAATCCGAAAGTGTTACTGGAATAAGTGATTAAAGACTGGTTGGCCGAAAGTGTTTACAAGGATTTTGACATGGGAAATTTTCAATTGACTTTGAAGTGTTTGGGATGGGACCTATGTTGACAACTAGTGCAGATTATTTAGGTACCCTGGTTTAATGTCTTCGGAAAAATGAATTCTCTTGATAACTTACCTTGGCTTTGATATAATCATTTGTCCTTCGCAATAAACAACGTATAAACTTCCAGCTGTTTTCAGAAATTGCAGCTGTTTATGATAATATCCTCACAATTCGCCTTGCCTCTCCCTAGGATACAGTAGCAGCGCACGGGGCGACCTGCGCCCGCGCCCCCGTGCCGTGCCCGCAGCGCTGCGCGGCCGCGCCCGTGCCCCGGGACGAGCTGGATGCGCACCTGCGCGACCACTGCGCGGCCGCGGGCGTCGCGTGCGCCTACAGAGATGCCGGGTGTCGATTCAAGGTATCATCTTTAGTTTCACATTTACTTTCTTGTTTATAAGTGTGTGCAACAGTAAGCCATTTTACTCTAACGGTTGTGATAGATTCTTGTATGAATTATTAATAGTTGCTGTAAACTTTATCCATTATTGATTTTAGATTATACTTGTCAATTCTTAAGTAGCCTAGGGTCTTCATTAAGAAAGTGATATAGTATTTGCAGTATATTTGTTAAGATCCCATTTATTTGGTTCAAAGTGAATGTGATGTTGATAAATAGCATAGATAGCATATGTAATATGGCGAGGATACAGCACTCTATTTAAAACTAGCTTTTTATTTAGATTTCATTTATTTGTCTGTTTCATTTCCAACTAAATTTTATTTTTCATATCTTTGTCTTGGAGACTTTTAGTGTCTCAATAACGACATCGATAATTATTTCTAGGAGTTACGGTTAATAGATCAGACCAGTAAAAGCTAATTAACAGAGAATATTAGACCTCAGAATATACCTTCCAAAATTTCAAAAATAACGGAAGTGATTTCATAAAACGTACATAACATATATAATACTTCTTGACATCCTTGAATGATTCCTCAACATATCCCGTGTGCGTATATGAAACTGATCGGCACGCAGGGCACGCGGGCGGCGCTGGAGCGGCACACGGAGGAGAGCTGCCAGCAGCACCTGGCGCTGGTGGCGGCGCTGGCGGCGCGGCAGGCGCGCCAGCTGGAGGCGCTGCGCGCGGCCGTGGCGCGCCTGGCGCTGCCCGCCACGGGCGCGCTCGTGTGGCGCCTGCCCGACTGGGCCGCCAAGATGGCCGACGCCGGCGCCAAGGAGGGCGTCGAGCTGCTCTCGCCCGCCTTCTACACCAGCCAGTACGGGTACAAGTTGCAGGTATACACATATACATGTTACACTTTATTTGGATATCGATTTATATCACCGCACGGATATAATTCATCATCATCAGCCCTTTTGCAGGGGCTCATGCCTTCCTTATGGATTAAGGTAGTAACCCTCAACCCTTTACGCTGACCCAATGCGGATTGGAGGGTTTTAACGTGCCTTTCAAAGCACGGAGTAGCTCGAGATAGTAATTGTTTGGTCACCCATCCCGTGAGTGACCTAGCGAAATTTGCTTACGCCACCGAACTACCTATCCTCTACAGATATAATTTTTAATTACGATGCCAAATTGAATAGCAAACGATGGTTACTATGGCAATATCATTCTCTATACAAACTTTTACTCCCATTTTCATCCCTTTATTTGCTGGTTTTCGGGACAAAATATAGCCTATGTTAACCGCATATGATTTAGCTTCCCGTATGAGAAAGATTTTTTTAAATCCGGCCAGTAGTTTAGGAGCTTATTCGTTGCAAACAAACAAACAATCAAATCTTTCCTCTAATATTAGTATAGATAAAAATAGTATAAAAGTATAGATTAAACGACGATATCTTTCAGCGTCAAGTTGAGAATTCTTAAAAGTAGATTTAAACTGTTTTATCCAACATCGTTCATTTCGATTTTAACCTAATAGATTTTATATTAGTAGGGAAGTTTTTATTTAATTACCTATTTTTAGAAAATATAAGTACATAAAACACCTCCATGATTACGTCCATTCCGTTCATTCATTATTCTTTTATAGTGATATTCTTTACTGCTGTACTTAACGTTAACTATTTATCGACATAATGATTTGACTTTCCATAATATTTTAGCATTACCTATTTGAATTGTCAACTTTTATAAAAATATTTTCGAACCCATACTTTAAAAAATCCATTTCAATAGTTAGAATTTAATATGAGACGTATATTATATCGGTGCATACATAAGTAGAAATCATACGACATTTCCATTCATAAAAAATAATAATCATATGTACTAACGCCATCTATTGACAGTTCAAAAAAACGAAACTAAAAAGATGTTTCATCGACTAACAATTCATTATCAAATCGACTTCCGTGTTCAAACATCAACATGTTGATTATCGTAATCCTTTAAAACCAAACATTTGCCGATCTCGCCCTTTGTTAGTAAACAACGGTGTGTTACTGGTTTATTTGCCGGTGAATAATAATGGGTGACTAACCCCGCCGTACTCTACTACCAGCGTGGACGAAATTAGATCGGTTACTCACGCGCAGATCGCTTCGTACATCAACGTTCAAGTCATAATACTGTCGCTAATTAGTTATCGCCCAGTGGCGCCATTGTATTAGTCACTAATGACAATATAATGCAATTAATTTAGCAATAAGATTAGAAAAGGTTGTACAAGCAAAGGTTTTATTTGACATTATTGTTTAGTAAAAAGTAAATAATTTTGGGAATGAAAAAAATAATGATTTTTATCTTTAAAAAAATCTATTGTTTTAAACGCACAGAAGAACAAAATCCTGGGGCGTTTATTCAATAACTAGTTCAATAGAGGTTGAAAGAGTTGAAGGCAGATTAGTTGTGTAATGATCAGACATATAATTTATTTTCTATTATAACAGTAACAGTAAACCCGAAGAAATTATAGGCATGTCACCCGCGTATGACGGAGCTTCCGTAAATGAGAGTATTTCTGAAAAAAAAATTCTCAAAAGAATGTTTAATAATGTCATCGATTTGAAAAAAGAAAATTATAGCTTCATAGTTAGCATTTTTGGTAACGCATTAATTCTTGAGCTGTTCCAAAGCTCAAATATTTTTTTAAGTTTCTGTGACAATACTTATTAGTGTAATTACTTGTTGCAGGCTTCTCTTTTCCTCAACGGCAACGGCGCAGGTGAGGGCACACACATGTCAGTATATATCAAGATCTTGCCTGGGGAATACGACGCGTTACTCCGCTGGCCGTTTGCTCACACAGTCTCCTTCACTCTATTCGATCAGAGTTCGAGTCCTGACCGCGCCTGTAACATCGTGGAAAGTTTCGTACCAGATCCCACGTGGAAGAACTTCCAGAGGCCGTCCAAAGAGCCTGACGCGTTGGGTTTTGGTTTCCCTCGCTTCGTATCCCACGAGATGCTCAAAAAGAGAAATTTTGTCAAAGATGACGTCATGTTCTTAAGGGTGAAAGTGGATCCCAGTAAGATCGTAGCAGTGTAAGTCGCCTTAAGAAATATTGTAAATAGTCTGAGAAGGTTTTTACCAATAAGGATGACTCAAAACCCAAGATGGGAGCAGTCATTGTTGATTAGTATTAAGTAATTTAAAAGTCATAGACTGTAAATGTAAATATTGTGTTAAGATTAGAATACTTATAGTTTATTTTTTTGTAAATATTATAATAGAAAAAAGCGCATACGCTGCATTGTTATCCTTTCACTAAAGATCTCTTGAGTTTCAATTGCCGTCAGAAGAACATAGCAATCTGAGCATGCTTTCAAAGAGAACGATTCCGAGTCTCTCTGGTTTTTGTTTTTTTTTTCAATACTACTGGCGACAACATTTCCGACCGTTTTGCGTTTTTTGATCTGTGCCATATTTCGTAAGGATTTATTGAATGGTGTACACACATTTTTATAGGATACTGCAAAAACTGTGTGTAGAAAGTTTATAAAGTACGCTGGGTTCAGGTGCATTTTTGTAGGCCTTGCAAAACTCCAGTTAAAGGCTTTCTGAAAAATGCTTTGGACGACTACGTATCACCAGGCAACTTTGAGACATGTTTAGCTTTGTTATAAATCGGCAGATCTTTGTATATATCTTCTGTTTTGCTAAATAGTTTATCATACCTATTAGAGAAACCTCTTATTTGTTGAAGTATATTTTGTATATAATCTATCTTTCAGAGAGCTGTTATTTGTATATATAAATATAATTATTAATCTATAAAACTTTACAAATGAAAATAATTTCATATTTCTGAGTTCTCAAGCTGGAGTTAGACCAAAGTGTTTTGATGACTTTGCAAAGAAAACATTATAATTTAATAATACTGTGTACATTCATACTATGCAAAGTTGATCAACATAAATGTATAACACAGCTAAAGCTGTATGTAATTTTATATATTTTTATATTACCTATATACCGATAATATGTTAGACATATAGTAAGCTAACGGCCCATTTAGTGCTTTTGTATTTGTAGGCAGTTTGAAATACTATATGTTACTATAATATGAGTGTAAAGAACTACTGCAACGAAGAATCATGTTTTTCTGTAAGCTACATAATCATGCATCTTTTTAGGCAGAAGTCAGAATACCATTATAAAATATCGAGTCTATATTGGATAATAATTACTTAAAAGGCTTTACAAAAGCTTTCACGTTTTGAATTTAGCAGATACGTTGTAACTGAGGGTAGCAACAATTTGCGAATTTAAAACTACCCTCTGAAATTTGTAAGCAAGGCAAGTCTCGATAGCAATTCAATCAAATACCTGTTATTCAATTTCAGATCTCTTAAAAGCTTTCTTAACGATTAATCTCATTGAAATGTTACATTCCAGTAAAAAAAAATCGTAATTTTAAGTCTGGCTTCAATTAACCAAAATTAAAGTGTAACTTAACAAAATAACACGCATTTTATATTCCTAAATTGTTTCCTTACCATAGAGTTTTTTGGTTAGCTATTTTGATGGTGTGTGTGTAATTTTTTTATTTAAAAATATGACGTCATTATTACCGTTTGAACATTGAAAAGGAAATTAATATTTGGGCGAAATTTTTTAAACATTAAAACATCTCTTTCATTTATTGGTTTATTTCTCTAATATTTTAATTTTTGACTATGCTTATTATTTGACTTAACAATAAAGGTTTTTGTATGGTAATTAGTAATGAATATCCCATATAAATATTTTTGATACTTTTAAGTAAAGATGAGACTAACTTTTTCTAGTATTAAGTTAAGTTTACGAGTAGACTTAAGTAGTGATTATGTTTTTAGAGAAAACAAAGTAATAATGTCGTAATTTAGACTATAAGTTGGAAATATATATATTTCTTTTTCATAAATTATTTCTTTTATTTCTCATCTTTCTATTGAGGAATTACTCCTTAACCTTACTCCAGACTTAAACTCCATTTTGTCAATTTGTAAAATTTTAATAATATCGATGCTCAAATGCTTTGATAGTATTAAAATTTTATTAAAACATTCCCAGTGCTTATTTTGTAGAGTCAATGAAAAATTAAATAGTATTTACAAAAAATCTACTTAATATATTGGAAAGAATCACCTGTGTTCTGTGGCAAGGAATAACTACAAAAGTTTTGCAACTTATCATTACATTTTGAAAAATATACCAAAACTCTTTCGACCGAAAACCGAGTGAATTTTTTTTTAAATATAGGCAGCGCCACCCTCATTGACTTTGAACACAGAACAGGCAAAAAGGTTTAAAATAAATTATTTATCCATCTATTGGCTATGTGCACGACTTCAGCGACACCTAGCGTCCATAACTTGGACAGAACTACTGCGATACTGTGGTGTGGTGTGTGGTGTGATGTGGTGTGTGGTGTGATGTGGTGTGTGGTGTGATGTGGTGTGTGGTGTGTATCGCGTATGACGCAGAAGAGAGTGTTTGAATCAAATCATCTTTTCTGAAATCGAGCCACTATCGTATTGTTTATTCCCGCCATAGTAGTTTTGTGTGGATAAAATAAGTTAAATTATACAAAGTAAAAAAACAATATATTTAAGTAAAATCTTCCAAAGGCAATAGGGGTGCAGACAAGCTTTTTTATTTTATAGCTATAAATGAAATATATCTAAAAAAATATTCGAAAAGTATACCATTCATATATTAAGTTAAAATTTTAAAATAAATTAAATTCTTAGTGAAAAATTTTTAAAAAATCCACTTTGTCCCTGTGATCTGAGATGGGATTAGAACTCACAACCTTTCGCAATCAGGCCGACTGATCTAATGTGAGCTGATTCACTGTCAGAAAATATTAAAATATATACGGCCGGTTTCTGAATTGAGAAAAGTACAAAATTTCAACTGATTATTCTCAATAACTTAAGTTCTTTACGTTTTACACGGCAAAAAAATCCTAATTTTTGTCAAACTGCCATCAACTGTTCATTAAAAAAAATTAAATCAGAAACGAAAACCTTTTGTTTAAGTGACGTTTAAGGTGGTTTAAGTACGGTTTGAGACGTGCTTAAGTTCAAATGCTCAATTCAGCCCTGCGATTCTGTAAAAATCCAGACCCGAATTCGAATTCACTCATGTGTCCGAATTCACGTCGTTTAGTGTAAAAATTCTATTGATTCCATTTTTTTTGTATAAAAATACAAAACAGAATTAATTGAATACACGTGTCTCAGATATTTTATTCCTATATCATTTCGAAACTTACTTCACTTATGCTACGAAACATTATTACCAATGCAAGGTTGAGCGTATACCTCTTTTTGAAGTCAATTCGGACACCTGGGAGAATTCGAATTCGGGTTTGGAGTTTTACAGAATCGTAAGGCTGAAACCGGGTGATAATCTCACTACTTTATTTGTGCTAATCTCTCTCTTTGTCAGGATTAGAACTTATTTTGAAACCGGGAAAATTGTTGCACGCTTATGGAATTAGTCTCTTGAATAATTTACGATTCATCACAACTCCAAGAATAACTGCACTCTCCAAAATATTCCACCGGTATGATTCGTCGTTCACGCAATTATCGCAAAAAATTAGAGAATTTCACCTATTGAGAAATACGGCTAGAAAACATATTTTATTTTTGGTTTTGGTAAATTCGATCAGTGCGGCGGCAATGACGTTGTTCAATGTTTTTACCTGCAGACGATATTTTTTCCAAGCATCACTTTTAATCAGCCATTTTACCATTTTCCATTTTTAATCAGCTGTTAGGCTTTTCTGGCTTGTATGCTGTCGACGTAAATCAGAGTTCGCAAACTTAGTTAAAATCATTAACCAGCTCGTGAGTAACTTCGTAAATTTTTGAGAACGTTTTTTATTTGGGTTTTGGTTATACCCAACAAAATATGAAAAAGGAACGATTTCTAATAAAAAAACTATGGTAGAAGTTTTATGGTGGTTTCTCATCGGAAACTTAACCCAGTAGATATCAAGCTTAACCGTTGGATAAATAGTATATTTTTTGGGCTGAATGGACTTAATATAAAGACAAATGAACCAAAGAAATAAATAAAAAAAAGCGCTATTCTTCGTGTCTGTTGTTTTGATTGTGGTTAAATTAGCGCTTAGCGTGTTAACTTAACACGCTGATATTACTTACACGTTAATTCGTTACACGCGCTACTAGACATACAGTTTCATGAAAATATATATACATCGAGTTCGAATATATCGGTTACATTCGATATCGATATGTTAATATCGATATCAATAGATATATTTCAAAAAAATTATAATATTATACGTTAATTTATTAATTAAACTATGTCAGCTGCACTTATCTGACACACAGGTCAATAATAATAAAATAATAAAGAAACTATGTAAATTTTTGATGTAAGCTATATTATATGCTAGATATACCAAATTTGGAACAATATAATTTATCAATAAATTACCATTAGTAAACTATTGTTAAAGAGGAAGTATTTAAAAAAAATTAGTTCCCGAAATCAAACACTACGGTACTATCTTGATTTCTCCATAACAACCTTTCCGAAACTCAATAAATAACTCATATTATTTGTATTGATATCTAAGTTTCGAACTTTGCAAATTATATGTTAGATAAAGCAACGGAAATGACTTATTTTAGTCCATTCGTTGCTTGCAAAATCAACTTTTGCTAGAGTCGCCAGATGGCGACTCTAGCAAAAGTTGATTTCTCACTAGCTAGTGAGGTGCTTTTTTAATGCTTTTTCTTTAATACTTCTTCATTATTATCATAAAACTTTAGGAGCCATGATGGTGAAGGTGTGGTCCTACTGGATGATGGATGACTGGCAAGGGAGACTAAAGGGTAATTGTCCCCCTCCGAGCTAGCTATTGTTAGCCCGAGGAAATGTGCGGTTTCCTTTGTTCTAAATGACTTTTTCAATCTTTGTACTGGTACAGCGCCATTTCGTTACTGAGTGCTGAAAGTTTTTGGAGTTCGTCTTGCTATCGATTGTTGTGGCGATGTTAGTGCGATGTGTTAGATGTCGCTTCTGTGATGTCGTTACGCTACAATGAATTAAAATAATCGGCCAATAAATTGGTGACGGCTACTAACTTAGGAACAGCAGCTTGGACAGTCAACTTCCGTGAAGCCTGTTCCTACTTAGTGTAACGTTGACTCCTGTAAGTGTGCCATGACTAATTCGAGAGCATTTTGGTTACACCCAAATGACTCTTTTCTCCGTTGCGATACTATATCTCACCATCGACCCGAGTAAAGTGCATTTGGTGTAGATAAAGCAAGCATTCCTCAAGCTTGTCATGCTATGCGTGCAGCTTTTAAAAAAAGGCGTTTGTAAGGCATGCTCCTGGTCACAATAGGAAGATTTCTTATTGCCACATTAAATAGATTGTGATTCGATTAGGAACACATTATTTTGAAATTAAGTTTCGATATGTTGGTATTTTTCGATATCGATATCTTTATGCGCCTCTATATCGATATATATCGGTTTTGCGATATGTCGTACATCCCTACGTGCAGTAAGCGCCCACGGCTGGTTTTGATACTTGATTGTTTTGTTTGTTATTAATTGGTTAGTGTTTACCTACATGTTTGTCAATAAATTGGAATAAAATATAGCGGTAAAGGCGAGAATTAGTAAATAGAATTGTAATTTCATAAAAATTCATTCCTTTTTCATTTATGTTCTTTTTTTTTGAACTCTTAACATTCCTAATTTTCAGGGATCCTGGAGGAGGGAAATGGAACGATTTGCTAATTGATTTATTTACATACTGTTAATTCAAATTTCAACTTGAAATTAGCAGAATTGTAGTAAACAAAATATCCATTGAGATAGAAGAATTAGCCTTGACTCGTTTCCTTTACAGACGGCAAGTACACACGTCCATTTTCGTATAATTTTACATGGAAAATCTACCAGACATTAGCCTTTAATTAGATAGAGAGAACAGATACTTCAATTAAGTGCATGCACATGTGGTGTTTACAAACAACATAATATTAGTTATTGTATTGATATCTAATGTGTAGTATTTATTCCTATAGCTTCTCTATTGCCAATAACTCTTAAAGCATGTCGAGGAATGCAGCACCATCAGTGGTACAAATGGAGAAATTAATTTCAATTATGGAGGAGAAACGTTGGCTGGCAACAGGTCATGCTCGCACTACCCACGCCCGGGACCGCACACGAGCTGCGTGGAAAGAAGCTGCACTTAAATTGAATTGTGATGGAAGTGGCTGCATTAAAAGTTGGCAGCAATGGGCAAAGGTATATAATTTTGATTTGATTCTATTCTGTTTACATTACATGTCATTATGTCTATTAATCTCTTTATTGATTAAGTATTCTTGTTTACATATACTATACATACTATATACCTATTTAAATAGTTCTTATATTTTAGTATTGGAAGGATAAAAAGGCTGCCATAAAGAAAAAAGCACTTCTAATCAGGATGGCTCCTATTAGGCCTGTGGGTGATGAAGATGAGCCAATTGTTTTAACTAAATTTGAAGAGAGGGTTGTGGCACTTATGAGTGGAGGAGGTTCCACTTCTGGCAATAGGGGGCTACAAGTTAATGCTTTTTCTGTAAGTATATATTTAAGAAAAACATGTGCTTGTTTAACCTTGCTTGGTTAGCAAAGTATAATCATGAAATTATATTTTATTTAGAATTTTCTATTTTCAGCCACCAGTTAATGGACATTGTTCTGTTGTGGGTGTAGTAGAGATGGCTGAAGAATCTGAACCAAATGCCTTTGTATGTAGACAAGGAGATAAATATTATAATTTAGATAAAATATTTTGTCAGTGAATAATGTTTTTAACAAAAAGTATTAATGTAATATAATTGTGGATGACTAGTCAGAGGGTAGAAATAGCCCTAATACACAAGGAGTTGATGGTATCACACTGTTACATTATAGCTAGTATACACACTCCTTAATAATATATTATCTGTATAACTTGTATAAATTAACATGACAAATGAAAATACTAAAAAGTTCTAATTACTCTTATAATTTAGTTAAAATCATCTTCCTGAAGATTTATCTGTTCATCTGCACTGTTGAATGATTAATTAATGAAAAATTTGTTTGTTTGGAATGGTATTACTGATTAGAAAAAAAAATTGATTTTCACAGATACCTATAGAATATGCCTTCAGGGGTCATGTTAGTTCATATGAGAAGAGTAGGTTCATTTTTAATCAATACCTGCAGAACCTTGAACCGTATATCTGATTCAAATAATGATATGTCAATGGTGTTTCAATAGCAGCTTTGATATATTATAACATATCTGATATCAGCAACAGTGCTTGTTACTATATCACAAAGTATCAAAATAATTAGTCATCATTGTTTCATCAAGATGTCATTATAGTAACAATATTTGGCCTCAGGTGGATAATGCAGTGGGAAAATGCAGTTTATTGAAATGCCATTAAAGTACCTTATTAATACTAACAGAATCGGCCCAGTATATATCGCCCGCGTGATCCCTAAGGAACTGTTTATTTGGGTATCGATTCATAGCATGACACAGATATAATTATTGCTGTTATCATAGCATAGTTTTTCGTACATATATTTTTGGTATCTTGAACCGTTTTCGCAGTGCACGCAATGGAAGCCCCCAAGGATGAATAATTTTCCACATTTTCCATTATTTCTTCGCTCCTAATAGTTGCAGCATGATGTTATATAGCCTAAAGCCTTCCTCGATAAATGGTCTATTCGACACAAAAAGAATTTTGCAATTCCTGAAGTAGTTCCTGAGATTAGCATGTTGAAACAAACAAACTCTTCAGCTTTATAATATTATGTAAAAAGTAAGAAATAGAACACAAAATTATTTTTCTTTCTCAACGTATTCCCCATTAACTCTATACATTTATTAGACCTATCAATTAATTAATTAATACCTTCGAAAAAAAATGATTTCTCTTCTTCACCGCTGGAAAATTTCTTCCCTCGAAGCTCTTTTTTCATTTTTGGAAACAAATAATAATCACTTGGGGCTAAATCTGGGCTATAGGGAAGATGTTCTAAGATTTCGAAGCCCACTCTTTGAACAGCAGCCATCGCAACTTGCGCCTTGTGCACGGGTGCATTGTCGTGCGAAAGCACACCTTTAGTCAATTTTCCCCGTCTTCTTTCTCTCACAGCATCTCGCAGACGTTGTAATAGTGCAGCGTAGTACTCTTCAGTGATAGAGACACCCTTTTCTTTATAATCAATAAGGAGGATTCCCTCTGAATCCCAGAAAATGGTAGCCATGAGTTTTCCAGCCGATGGAGAGATTTTGAATTTCTTCGGATGCGGTGTGCCCTTTTTGTGCCACTGCATAGAGTCTTGTTTGGACTCAGGCTCATAATGATGAACCCAAGTTTCATCTCCAGTCACAATTCAAAACTTCATCCTTTTGTTCACCACAGAGCGCTAAAAACTCGCGACAACACTCAAACTGGCCGCTGTTTCTGGTCTGGCGTGAGCATTCTCGGCACCCATCTTGCACACACCTTTGACATGCCAAGGCGGTCGTGTAGGATGTTCTAAATGTTTGTAGCTAATACTCAAATCATTTTTGCAAGCTATTTTTTTTTTAAACGGGCATCTTCCAATATGATTTTTTCAAGTTTTTCGACGTTTTATGCCGTGGTTGCCTCGACAGGCAGCCCTGGCCTAGGATCATCTTCAATCCAATCCTTGCCTTGCTTAAACAGGTTGTACCACTTGTAAACCATGGTTTTACCAAGGCAAGAGCCCCGTAAACAGAAGACATCTCTTCCAAAATAGTCTAGGGAGGTTTTCCTTGTTTGGTAAGCAACTTGATGACTGCGCGAAACTCAATTTCCTCCATGTTGCAAATTTTCTTCCGGTTTGAGTTGTTGATTGATGTGTAGCACAGGTAATTATGATCTATTTTTTTTGAAACTTAGTATTTATACTCTTATTGAGTGTCACAACTATTGCAGGTAGTAAAAAGTCACGTTTCCCCCCTTCATACCCCTCATTCCGCAAACTTTTTGACCCACCCTCGTATGTATATATGTAGGTCTTGTAGGTATCTTACATTTTCATATAATATGTACTGCATGTCAAAAAAATATTTATTTGCAGAACATACATCCAGGCCCGTCTTGGCAAAGAAATATTGTAGATAACCAATTAAATGCAGAACAACAAGTAAGATTTCAAAATTTTTATTTAAACTTCGAAATATAACATGAAATTTTTTTAAAATAAACATTGCACTAAACACACACACCAGTCAACCATTAGTTCATAATTATAACGTTAATTATGTGTCTTCATAAAAATCTTTTCAATTACAGAATCAGTCTCGAATTCCGCCAATATCTGCTATGCAGTCCGCTCGTGATGACCCATCTTCATGTAAGTTTAGTTGTTTTAATTTAAGTTTTAGGGATATATTAGCATACGGAGCATACCAATGCGACACTAAATGTCTCGACATATTGAGGGTACTTGAGAAAAGACTTATGTGTCAAATGCAAAATTTATTGTTCTTAGTTTTTCGTCCTATTTTCAATTCTTGATTTTTGATATAATAATAAGCCTATTATTAATGAACTTCGAGTATATTGTCCTAAAATAAATTTCACTAGTTTAAAATTGAGCCATCAAGATAATCTCTTAATTCAGTGTTCCTCTTGGCATAAGCCTCCTGCGATAATTTTCAGGGAGTCCTGTCCTTCGCTACCCTTCTCCAATTGTATCCAGCTTTGAGTTTAAGATCATTTTCCCATCTCTCATGTTGACGTCCACTGTTGCGTTTCCCAACTCTCGGATATGGTTTTGATACAATTTTACTCCTTTTTCCTGTTTATCTTGGTCATGTCCTGTCCATCTCCATTTTTGTTGGTCTATTTGAGTAAATATATCTGTTAATTTAGTTTTTTTTTCTCTAATTAAGCTGATTTTCACCCTGTATAGTTTTCTTATTTCTCTCTCCATGGTTTTTTGACATTATTCCAGTTTTTTTTTGTGGGACTTGGTGAGTGACCAGGTTTCATAATCCTGACACATAAGTCAATTCGAAATCGGTCTGTAAAAATCCAAAGAATCGCTCTACAGCCACGACATTTATTTACATAGCGCACTAATTTATTAATTGTTATTATTTACAGCACTAAGTGAACATAGACGTCGTTTATTAATGGGAAGGCGACGTCTAATTCGTCGCTCACAGTTACAGAGGCGGGCGCTAATTAGTGACCTGGCCGAGAGACTTATGGCTCTTGAAGAAAGAAATTTGGATATAGAGAAATCGCAAGCAGAAATTAGGAGAATAGAAGCAGAGACTCTTCGATTGCAGGCAGTGAATCAGCAGGAGACAATTGATATTTTTAGGCAGATTAGTAAATCCTTCCAGGATTTGGTGGAACATATAGTTAAAAAATAATTATTTTCTTCGGATTCTGATGTGAATAGGTATGCCTTGTGTTACGGAATATCTTCAACAACGAAGGTATTTTCTACATTGACCTGACGGGAATCAAATCGAAGACCTCAAAGACGGCGAGACCTTGTAACGCACATGAATAATTTGCCTTTTTTTCGAAACTTTCTGCGGCGATACTGTTTGCAGATGATACTTTATTATTCAATGTAAACTTAATAATTTTGATGACGTAAACAATGCTGTTACGCAGGTTATAAGTCAGTCTCTCAGATATACTTTTGGTTGCAGACCATTACGGAGGTACTTTCACATGTGCCCAAATTAGGGACCATCCATAAATAACGTCACACAAAATTCAGGACTCCCCCCCCACTTCTGTCTCTTGTTTATCTATACAAATTCTACTAAATATTGTTCTATTGTCAGTTCGTCGACCCCCCCTCCCACTTCTAAAGTGTGACGTAATTTTTGGATGACCCCTAGTTTCATGCAACTAATTTTTGTAATGTAATGAATGTAATGAAACAAGTCAGTTTCTAAATCTGCACAATACCTTCAATATTCTGGCTTGACGGTCCACTGAATTGTAAATATCATGTTGATTATCAAGCAATGTATTTATTACTTGATATAATTATTATTATCAAGTATAAATTACATGATTGATTCATGGAGTTCGGTTTTATGTTATCCGAAATCTTATGATCTTATTCCGCGGTAGAATCCTGCAAGGACCATGTAGACAAGGGCGTCGTCGAGGAGGAAGGGGGGGGGGGGGAGAAGGGGCAGCTGCCCGCCCCCCCCTACGAATTACCTACCTAATTAAAGCAACCAAAGTCCTAAACTAAACTAGACTGAACATATTTAAAGCGGGAAGAAGGGGAATCGTGTGTACACTCAAATACCAAATATTTTTTTTATTCTATTTTTCCAACAAATGTAATAACTTATTTACAAGTTTAATTTATTCTACAGCCGAGAGCTAGTGTAACTTTACAAATTGGATGCTGTTGTTTTGTCATAGATGTATGTAAGGCTCGTATTACAAATAAAAAGCTTCATGCACCCCCATCCCTCTGACCATCGGCTGACGACTCCCTTGCATGTAGATGCTGTATTCCAGATTTTATAGAACATAATTGAATTATTATTCATAAGACATTATGTGTTAATCGATTAATAAATGAATTATTCCTTTTATTGTTATTTTTGAAATTGTTATGGAAAGTGGCTTCGTTATCTAATCAAATGTATGAAATAAAACAGGGATAAAAAAGCAACCAGTGCTGAGTTTCTTGTCGGTTCTTCTCAGACAAGGTCTCTCGCTCTAGATTTACGTACTAATAGCATAGTGTTTCGATTCCACAAATGCTTGTATCCTAGACTTAGATAAATAAATTACTTTACACCATTTTCCAATTGTTTTCACTTTTCAGGATAAGCGATTACGGTTAGGGAACATTACACAAAGATTTGCGTAGATGGCAGCACTAACGCATGTAGTAAACATACAAAATCCATCAAACATTTTGTCTAGATATAAATGATTCCTTTTATTTCTACTTCCAAATAGGCAGCAATGACTTTATCTAATCTTCAAATCAGCATTACCATTGTGGTGCAAAAGTATACTTTTTAATCGGTGTACATTAGTCTTTTTTTTATTATGAATTTTTATTGGCTCTGTTCCAATGTTTTGCCTGGAGTGCTCAAGTTTACTTGAGTCAGTGCTGTGTTTGATGCCTTTAATTTTTTAAATATATGTGCTGGCGCTGCAATCAGGCGACAGAAATCCTCTGCTGTTGATAGGCTTTCCCTATGGATGAAATCAAAATAACTAATACAAGAACCAGTGCAGGTTGGTGGGTTTTAAGGACTGAAGATATAGAGATACTTGCTTTCTGAATTTCATTGCTGTTGAATGCATAAGTTATTAGCATTTAACCTGAATCTTATCTCAATTTTGTTATTCATGCAACCAATGTTTAATTTATTATAATAAATAGGTACTATTAGTCTGTTGTTTTTATTTGAAAAATACATAATTAATATCACAATCTTAAAAAAAAAACATCTTAATAAATATAACAAGAAACCTTAAAAATCCTATATGTTTTGCGAGCTTCCAGATTGACTTATTGTAGAACTGTTCAAATTAGCAGTTGGGGTTCTATGTTTTGTCATCTGAAAATATAAGAATTCCTATTTAATTATTGCAACTTATAATACAAATTATGTAAGTTCTTAAAACACAAATAATATCCTTTTATAATGTTTAAGTATTGCATTAGTGTTAAAAATATATTATGAATAAGTTTTATATTTATGCGGAATAATAACCATTTATTTCATATCAACCTTTATCTAGCAATTAAATAAAATGAAACCTCCCATTATTTAATTTAATTGTCTACTTAAATTTCATTTATTCAAATCTAAACAGATCCTAGTTGATAATAAACAGAAACTCAATATAGCAAGCATTGCATGACAAATTCAAAAGCATTTTTTTTTATATCCAAATGTCACTTTTCTCAGGTGTGCATAAAACATCTTACTCTCAAACAGAGAAAAGTGACATTTGGCTGTATACAAAGTGTTTTTTAAATTTGATATGATATGCATGCTGATTGTATAACATCTACTGTCTTAGTATTGAATAATACAGATAAAAAAAATGGTTTGAAATTTATTTAATTTTACTCCAAAACATAATTTTCAATTGCTACTTGTTTATGCTACCTAGTTTGTATACATATGTTTTTGTTTACTCTTTGTTTTTCTCAAATAGATTAAAATGAAATCTTTAAATTATAACTCAGCAATAAGTTAATTTTTTTTAGTAGAGAAAGAACAATCTCAAGGAAGAATTGGTTAAATTATAACTACCGTTCAGTCTCTTGAGTAACGTGCCTCTTTCACTATGGGATGTTGGCAAAATTATTGTGTATAACGGAATAAGTGTTGGAACTATTTAGTTTACACACCAACCTTCTTTCATATATCTTTTGATAGGCCACTTTGTTTTTTCTCTTTATATTCTTTGTCATTGTCAGTTTATTTCTTTTTTTCTGTTTAAAATATTTATCAAGAAAATTACATAAGTCCTTTTATCTTACATATTATTATTTTATTTGGAGTTGAGAGAATACCTATTTAAAGGCAATAAGTTCCTTTTGGTTATGGGCCCAGGAGCTCTGATACTCTAAATTTTTGCAATTCGAACATAAAAAAAATGGAAGGAGATTCTTGTACAAAACCTTTCTCTCATACAAACGCAAGTAATAGTAGTGTAGTATCCTATATTTCAACTGCACATACAGTAAGTACTCCATCTTTTAACAAATTAGAAGGGCGTTCAAACTATGCAACATGGGCATTCTCAATGGAGATGATGCTGATTGATTGTGGACTATGGGATTGCGTGAAGCATCCACCTTTTGACAATAGCTCACCAGAAATGCAACGCTCTGATGACAGAGCCCGATCTAAAATTGGCTTGTGCTGTCATGAAAGAGTCTTCTCTAAAATAATGGGATGTAAATCTGCATTTGAAGCGTGGAATAACTTAAAAAGGGCATACGCAGACAGCGGACTTATTAGAAAGCTCATGTTAATAAAAAAACTAATGAACTGTCGATATATTGATAATATGGAAACTTATGTTAATGAGATTATGTCGACACACCAACAATTAGAACAAATAAACCACAAAGTAGATGATTCGTTTGTTGCAATTATACTGCTTTGTAATCTACCCGATCAATTTAAGCCACTCGTCATGGCATTGGAACATTCTGGCACTGAACTAACATCAGACAATGTCATTGCTGCACTTATGAAAGAAGACAGCCGAGATCTAGCCACCTGCAGTAAAATACCTGAAGATAGTGCTTTAGTGTTGTCTTACAACAAATTTAATAGAGACACTAAGAACATATTTTGTAATTACTGCCGTAAACCAGGGCATATAAAACCAAATTGTAGAATTCTTAAAGCTAAATCCAAAAATGAAAAGGCCGAAATTTGCGAGGTAACACTTGTGGTTGATGATCAGTCCGTGACTAATTCTAATTTTGATAATTTGGAGATTAGTGAAACTTTTGTAAACTCTTTTATGTGTAAACCAATTTTTGATAAGTCGCTTCTTGCAAAGAGTGATAACTGGTTTATAGATTCCGGGGCTACAAGTCATATGACTAATAGACGTGATTGGCTACATGATACTAAACCTGTCACGAAAAGTATTAGAATAGCTAATGATCAAATAATTCTTTCAGATGCCATTGGTACTGTAAAACTAAACACTTCCAATATTACCGATGTTTTGCATGTTCCGAACCTCTCAACGAACCTGCTTTCAGTGAACTCATTGGTAAAGAAAGGGAATGTCGTACTTTTTTCGAAATCTGGAGGAAAAATTATTGATGGAGAAACGTGTAAGGTATTCGGAAAAGTTTTATGCACAGCCTCAAATATCAATGGTATGTACAAACTTGATTTACCTACTGCTCACGCGAATTTAACAGAAGTTAAAGAAAATTCAGCTGAATTATGGCACAAACGCCTTGGTCATCTGAACTTCAGATCTATGGAATTGCTTAGAAAAAACTTAGCTCTTGGTGTCAGGTATCCAAAGCCTGCTGGATCTATTAAAGATAATTGCATTGCTTGCGTGGAAGGTAAATTATCAAAGCAACCTTTCAAAACGTCAGATTCAAAATCGACAAATTTGTTGGAAATTATTCACAGTGACGTTTGCGGATTTATGAGTACCCAATCTTTGGGAGGTGCTTCATATTTCGTGACTTTCACTGACGATTTTTCTAGAAAAACATTTACCTACCTAATTAAACAAAAATCAGAAGTTGTGGAAAAATTTCGCGAATTCAAAAGCTTAGCCGAGAACCAAACTGACAAAAAGATTAAAATTCTACGTTCTGACAACGGTGGTGAATATTTGAATTCGGAAATGAAAGAAATTTTGAAACAGTCCGGTATAGTTCACCAAACGACTGTGCCTCACAATCCAGAGCAAAACGGCCTGGCTGAAAGAGTCAACAGAACCTTAGTAGAGAAAGCCAGATCTATGCTCTCAGAATCTGCTCTACCTCAAAGTTATTGGGGAGAAGCAATCAATACAGCGACTTACTTGAAAAATCGCTCACCGACTAAGGCTATTAGAGGGAAAACCCCTGAAGAAATCTGGACAGGAAGAAAAGTGGATCTTTCACATCTTCGTATATTTGGATGCAGAGTTTATGCGCACATACCTAAAATTCTTCGAAAGAAATTTGATGCTAAGGCCAAACTATGCATATTTGTAGGTTATTGCACCGAAACTAAGGGATACAGAGTAGTTGATCCTGAACATCCAAAAATTCTTATTAAGACAAGAGATGTAAAATTTTTTGAAAATGATTTTTTATTCAAATCGCAGTCAAGTGATCAAAATAATATGGTTGATAAAGTTGGAACTCAAGTATCAGAATCCGTCCCTATTATAGTTACAGAAAATTCTGAAAATATACCAAACGAAGGAGAAGTCAACAACATTATTACTGAACCTTTTATAGTTACAGAAAATTCTGAAAATATACTAACTGAAGGAGAAATCAACAATATCGAAACTGAACCTTTAACACACACACAGGTAACTGGAAATGACGACACTGAAGAAGAATTTTATGACAGTGTTACTGAAATTTCGGATAGTACAAACAATCAAGTTTCTCAACCTGTTAGGAGATATCCATTGAGAAACAGAATCCCGAAAAAGTGGTCAGAAGATATAGTTCTCTACAAAGCTGAAGAAGATGATATCCCTTCAACCTTTAAGGAAGCCATTAGTTCTGATGATAAAAATAAATGGCAAGAGGCTCTTCAAAGTGAATATGACTCACTTGTAACTAACAAAACTTGGGTCCTTGTGGATAGACCTAAAAATAGAAAAATAGTCCGTTGTAAATGGGTATTCAAAATAAAGAAAAATGAAAACGGAGAAAACACACGCTATAAGGCACGATTAGTAGCCAAAGGCTTTACACAAACTTACGGCGTAGATTATGACGAAACATTCGCACCCGTTTCACGCCTTTCAACAGTTAGATTACTGCTTGCTTTCGCAGCACAATGGAATATAACAATGGATCAAATGGATGTTGAAACTGCTTTTCTTAACGGTGATCTAAATGAAGAAATATATATGGAACAACCTGAGGGTTTCACTAAAGAATGCAACAAGGGGAAGGTATGCCAGTTAAAGAAAGCACTTTATGGTTTAAAACAAGCGCCTAGACAGTGGAACCTTAAACTTAACGAAGCAATGATGCAACTTGGAATGAAAAGGTCTGAACATGATCATTGCCTATATTATAAAGTTAATGAAACTTGCATGTTAATTGTTGCAATCTTTGTTGATGATTTTTGCATTCTCAGTAATAATGCTGATATGAAAGAAAATTTTAAAAGGGATATTAAACAATTTTTTAAGGTCAAGGATTTAGGAAACTTAAAACATTTCTTAGGAATGAGAATCGCAAAAGAGGAAAATGGTATAGCCATTGATCAAGAAGAATATATTAAAAAGGTACTAGATAATTTTGCTATGACTGATGCAAAACCGGCTAGTACACCTGCTGATCCTAATTTAAAGTTAGTGAATCCTTCAAATGAAGATAAAGAAGCAGCTCAACATTTGCCTTATCAAAGACTGGTTGGTTCTCTTATGTATCTATCTGTAGGAACTAGGCCAGACATTACACATGCAGTAAGTGTGTTAAGCCAGTTTAATTCTAATTATGGGACAATTCACTGGAATGCAGCAAAAAGAGTTCTACGATATTTAAAAGGGACAATGCATCTTAAACTCCGATTCCAGAAGAAAAATATACTCACTCTTACGGGCTATACTGATGCTGATTATGGTGCATGTTTAAAAGACCGGAAATCCTACACTGGATATGTATTTTATTTAAATGGACCTATATCATGGGAATCACGTAAACAACGAACGGTCGCCTTGTCAACAACCGAAGCCGAATATATGGCACTTAGTGATGCTGCAAAAGAATCCATATATCTCAAAAACATATTGAAGGAAGTGTTTGGTTTAGATAATGGTGTCTGTATTTATAGTGATAATCAGGGAGCTCAACTGCTAACAAAAAATAACGTTCATCACTCACGAACAAAGCACATTGATGTTAGACATCATTTTATTAGGGATACTGTTGCTAGTGGTATTATTGGTATACAATATATTCCGACAAATGAAATGAAGGCAGATGTCTTAACCAAGTTTCTATCGAAGCAAAGACATCAGTGTTTAACGAAAGGATTAGGTTTAATTTAACATTTATAATGGCCTATTAATTTATTCAGAAGTAGGGGAAGTGTTGGAACTATTTAGTTTACACACCAACCTTCTTTCATATATCTTTTGATAGGCCACTTTGTTTTTTCTCTTTATATTCTTTGTCATTGTCAGTTTGTTTTTTTTTTCTGTTTAAAATATTTATCAAGAAAATACATAAGTCTTTTTATCTTACATATTATTATTTTATTTGGAGTTGAGAGAATACCTATTTAAAGGCAATAAGTTCCTTTTATAAGTTCATATATATATAAAAAAAAGAAGAATGTATGTGATGTTGTTCAATAATTGTTTCCTTCAAGATCATTGTTAATTAGTGTGACATAATCTTAAGACATAACCAAGGTAGTAAGAAAAAATCTAAATTTACGGTGAGTTGCACAAACATACATTAAGGTTTAATGACGCCTTTAAGCTATAATGAATGTCAAATTTGTAAAGGTAATATCACTTTAAACTAATGACAATTTTAATGGACGTAATAAACTGGCTGTTAGTAAGGTTAAAACAAATTGGATTGATGTGCCAAGGCAAAGTGCAGTGGATAAATGCTATTTGAAAGAAAACTATAACAAATACACACCATTTTTATCCTATACAACTCATCCATAGCAGAAGGCAGCAAAGGTTTCACCGAGTTTATCTCCATCATTGTCAGATGATCCAGCCTACCGTAACTTCCACCAGATTTCATCAGTGCATCCATTGAAGTTCTCAGCTTGGACATGCGAATATCCCAAATGTCTTTTATTATAGTCTTAATTTCTGCTGCATTAGGTACATCTTCAGCTGCTACTCCAAGAATAAGTTTTGCTTCGACCATGTAGTGTTCATTTGGCATTTTTGTAAAAAACCTGAAGATTAAGAGAAAGTAAGCTAAGGTTTTGGATGCTTCTATATTATCATAGAATTCGTGCAATTTTATGACATTACCTTGATCGTTTTTCCTCTTCTTTGATGTTTTCTAAGGCTTCAACGTCCATCCAATCCGGTGGTACTACTCTGCACTTTTGCTTTTGTTTTAACATAATTGCTAACCATAATGGAACATTTAGCGGTAAACCAGCGCGAAACGGTCCAAATTCTCCACAAATCAAATAGATTTTATCATATGAGAAGTTTGGTATTACACTGACGATTCTGTTTTCACCAATAAACTCGATTTCGTATGGATCCATAATCGTAGTTCACTTATTTGATTGTTTATAAAATCATACGATTTGTAAAATAGAATTTATTTGTTATAACCATAAACCAATGAAATTAACTAAACTATAACGTTATTTTAATGTTCTTCCATTCTTATGGGTAGGACATAAAATAAATAAATTAAATGGCGCCAAAAATAATAGTTGAGATTGACAGCATTTTTTGACACTTACGTCCTCAACAACGCCATCTATAAAATAGTATTTAAAGTACTTACTAACTATTTTAATTCAATCGTTGTTCAAAAATACCAAACGGTCTCTGTGTATACACAATAATGTAGTAGATGATGTTATTCTGCTTTTAATAAATGTTTAGTGGTCTTTACAGTTAAAAGTCTCATAAAACCCCCTGTAGAAATCTAAGTAAAACTATATTTTTATTTTTACAAAACGGAACCAAGGGACATCCACCCAATCGATGCAAATCGTTTTGGCAAAGTGCAAACTCTTAATTACAAGCAGTAAATTAGGGTGGTTGACAATGTCTCAGGGTGATATTTATGGGGGTCTCGACGAGACGGGCAGCGCCCAGACTTTGCCACCCCATTTGTTTCAATAAGTTTCAGCAAATGTTAAGATTTCAAGTTTCGGTACGTGATGGGTGTTAATTTGTAAGTAATTAGCAGAATTCGCTTGAGCGTAAATGGTGTAAAAAAAATAGGTATGTGGAAATGATAACTTTTCTGATGAAATTTCATTAAACATTTTGGTAAATGAATTTACTTAATTACAGGTAGTGGATATTGTAATTAATTAAAGTGATCATTTGTTTTAAATTACATTGGGTAAAATAAGTTCTATTCTTTTTCAATTTATTTTGGTAGGTAGTAAATCATGGATTAATGCAAATATTAATTACTTTTTAATTTAAGCTTTAAATTATTATTGTTCTTTTCGATAGGTAATGCTAGAGCCTGAAAAAAAATTGTTACTAAGTAAAGCAATAAAACTGTATATATTTTAATAGACCATAGGTAGCATCTTAGTTTATTTATTTTATTAGTTTCATTTTGAATTAGGTATTTTTTTTCGTTTGGTCATTTGGTTTTGTGTTGAGATAATAACTTCCTTCTATTCAATAATGTAGCCTATAGCATAAAAAAAAGTAATGGACTCAGACTTTTTATTTGGTCTGAGGTAATGGAAGAAAAGTTGTTTGCAAAAAAAAAAATTACCTAACTGTATCTGTAATTTAGGCAGTATGAAAACAAACTCGAGTCGGCAAATAAATAACGAATCTGTCTGCACGAGCGAAAAAAACACATTGTCTCCTTTCAGACATCTCTCTCCTTAAATCTGCATACAAATTCGTGAAATCGCGCACAAATTCACCGAGTCATTTAAAACCCATTCCGTTTCTGCGAAAATGCTGTTTTTTTGCCCGTAAATATGTCGGGGACTTGACGTTCAGCGTCGCACACCGACATCTAGCGTCGAGGGGCGATTTGTAGTCTAGTCACGCCACCTCCGCCAACGCGCGGCAGATGGCGCATGCTGCCACTCAAATGTAGAGCTTGCGATTCTTTTGTTTCCAATTTCTTTTTTCAGTCAGTTCGCGGTGCGTAATTTATTTGTTTTCTTTTGTGAATATGGGTGTAATGAAACGAAGAATCTTTGCGATACACATTCGGTACAAGTTTCAATTATGAAATGATCTGGATTTGTCATCATATTTTTATGTATTTTCGAGGAGATTCCTCTATTTTATAAGCAAACAATCTTAATCGATAAAAGGGTATAGAAAAAGTAATCTTATATATCTATTGAAATATAATGAATTTGCCAATCTTTCGTTACAAATATTGTAGGTATTTTATCGATAACTTTAACTCTAGCCCTTTTCAAAGAACTTTGTACGAAATTAATTATATAACGACCTACTAAGAACTTAAGTTTAAACTTGTAGTAGGCAGATTGTACGTGTGTATTATCTTTCAATAGTACGAAAGTGTTATTGTAGTGAGGCTGCTTATAAATTTTATTTGTTTATGAGTATGTCAATTGCGACGCATTAAAATAAAATAGTTTATATTTTGGCGAATTCTGATTACCATAAAAACTAGCTACCCGTATAGTTTAGTGATAGGCTCGATTCCTATAGAGCGACTGTCTAACCGCCTCAACTAGCTTTAGCCATAGCCATAAAAACGTTTTAATTATTCTATCCACGAATATGTTAATGTACATTGATTATGATACGTTTTTTATTAATTACGTATTTAAAACATTTTAGTTTGTTTCAATTGTCGATTACCTACGTATACCACATGAAAACAATAATATTGAATTGAATTAATACCCTTTTTTGGCTTAATTCGACTTTATGGAGCATAAATTAATATTAAAACAGGAAAGAAAATAAACGCTTTTCATTGATTAATCAATAAAACGTTTTTATTGCTATGACTAAAGTTATAGCGAGAGAATTAGGCTTTAGCTCTGCGACTTTGTCTAATCAAACTGTTTGCAATATTTTTTTTCAATGTTGGCTAATTATATGAAGTAACCTTCAGTTTAATATTGTTTAAATTTTTTAAACGCATCTCCATTTGAAATATCGCGTCGAATCGTCATCCATTATTCGAATTCTTACAAATACTGTTTTTTATTTAAAATGGAGATAATGCCTATTTTAATTTCATTTAATTCGACTGTTTAAAAGTTCGTACCATTGCATTTTGGACATATCTAGTTAATTTAACTACCTAGGCACTATTACAGAAGTTTTTAGCTCGTACTATCTCTGCCAGTGGTATTCAACATTTTTTAAACTATGAAGAAAATATAACCAATTCTTTTTTAATTTTTATACTACTTAATATATTTGATAAATTTTGCTTTAAAATCAAATCATTTAATGACCTTGTAACAGAGTACGTTACACTAGGCAAGCATAGACTTGCATAAATTCGATAAAAATGTAAAATTGAAATATGTCAAACAATTTAAATAACTACAATCAAACGCATGTAAACATTTTGATAGTATTAAGACTAAAAATAAATAGCATTCAAACATTTTGTCAAACAAATTTACAAAGAAAATTTCCTACAGGATTTCTAATAAAGTACACAAAAACTGTCAATTTCAATATCAAATTCAATGTTAATAAAAGGAAAAAGTTTCACAGTGCTATAGGTACTGGAAAATATTCTTAATGAAAAATGCTTAAGAACTTCATTTCGTCCCTGGTACTCTGAAATGGGATTTAAGCAACATATCATTATTTGTATATTTAACAAATGTTTGCTACGTACTTTATTAACTCTTTCATCAAAAAAAATGAAGTATTTTTGCCATCTTAGTAGGAAATATAATAGCAAAAAGGACAAATTATGTAGGTTTAATGTTTTTTAATTTTTTACGTCAAAACTAGTGAATGGACTTTAACGAGATTCGGTATATGGATCATTCCTGGATTCATACAAATGGTTCCCTGGGAATAAAAGGAGTTTATTTCATTCAATGAAACGTGTTTTAATTTATTAAAACGAAGCATATTTCGGAGTCCTCTTTAAATAAATAGTATTGGAAAGACATTAAATGGGATCACTACCTTTATAAAATAAGTTCTTCTTGAAATATAAAATTGGGTCTAATGAATAAATTTATAATGGCATTTAAAGAAAAAACAGATGATTTATCATCATCAATTCATTATTTGTTTTAATTATATACGTACATTTTTTAATGATGTACTTAACTAAACATGATAAATTATTAATTTGTTGACTACCTTAAATAATTATAACAGATGATAATAATTAAATAGAACCATGAACATAATATTATTTTCTGTCTAGAGGTGGGCGTTAATAGTTGCACTTTAGTTTTTTAAACACAGCGGCTATTATTATACACAATACTCTTGATAAATTCCATTAAATATACTCATATATATGTTTTTGAAATCTTATCTTTTTTTTTTAAAGTCGTTTCGCTAAGAAGTGTCTTTATATTAATGAATAAATTATATTATTCATATTAATATTCTTGGTATTTCTTTTTAAATTAGTTTTCCAAGATATATAACCTATATATTTTTAAAAGGAAGAAAATGTTCTCGATATCTGATTTTAGGCATAAGACGTTCATAATCGTCCTGCTTCATATCTCCAAAGTTATTCCTCATGAGGACAGTAATTACAATAGTAGATAGTAACTTGCGCCAGCGATACGGTCATTGCTAAGTGTGATGAATGAAAGAACAGATTTAACTTCTATAATGAGCATAGAATAAAAACATATTTAATTATTTTTATATTTTAATTATCACATGCCGTCATATATGTTAATTAAAGAACAATACTAGCTTGGTTATTGAGAATTTTTAAAATATATTATAAAATGAAAGTAAGCATAGATAATATTTTTTCCGAAAATTATACAAAATAATACCAAAAAATTTTAAATTTTATATTTCGAATTCGGCGCCAAAACGATCATGTGGTAATGTCCGCCATGTTGTGACGTCAATCCGTTGTAAACCTTTTTTAACAGTTATGCAGCGATTGTTATATTTAATGTGAATATTAAAAACACGTTTTAGTTTCTAATTTATAACATTTTCGATCTTAAAGAGTTCACAATTCATTTCCTTTATAATGTTATGTTATATATGTTAATATGTTATGATGTGTACTCATGAGTATCATACATTTCCTTCACCTACGGAGTACGAGTCAATGTACAATTTATGCAGGTAAAAAAATACTTTGATCAGCATTTCAAGTTCAACGTTACGTAACCTAAACACATATAATAATGATCATCCTTTTATAATTTTATTATATTAAAACAGTATATAAACATCTTTGATTGAGTTTGGTGATTTATAACGTTTCGTTCTCCCTACATATTCGTATAAACAACAAGAGAGAAGGCACTACATGAGAGATTCTAGCTTTAGCATATAAAAAAAATCAAAAACATAATACACAGTTAAAGTTATGAAGTAACACAAAAAATACATCCTGTTTATTTAAGTGAAAAACGCGCTCCATGTTCAATACTCGCAGGGCGATTCTGTCAAAATCCGAACCGGAATTCGAATTTACTCATGTACATTCACATCATTTAGTGAAGAATT